GACGGGAAACGTCACCAACAGCCGAATGAACAGTTTAGAAACACTCATCTAAGCTAACATAGCCTATTTTGCCCGAAGCAAAAGGAGGCACACAAACAGCACTGACAGGACAGCATTGCCCTCCAGAGCTAGATCAGGAGAGGAGACATCTGCAGCTTCACAGCTGAGGCCTCGCTATGAAACAGTCATGCAGGAGAACAAGGAGAATCTCATCATTGCATGCTCCACCATTGCTAGGGAGAGCAGAAAGGCTTTTTCTCCTTTTGTCGACCCTGATCAAAGTGTTTGTCGTGGCTTTGCAAAAGGAAGGATACGTACAGAAGCAGGAGATGCCTCCTCACCCATCTGCATGGGCTCGCTCCAGATCTTCCTCCTGGGCTTGAAGGCGAGAAGCAACAAACTTGGAGTGACAGCACAGTGAGCAGGGTGCATATTTGAAAGCACTGCTTCAGATGCAACCCATAAAAGAAAGAATAAAGGAAGTTATCTAAACTCACCTGAGGAACGTGAGAAAAACACAAGTCCCAAGAAGAGCAGCTTTAAAGAGGAATAAGAGGGAAAATTACATTTGCAAGCAAAATGTGCCAGGAGAAACTCAGCTTGCCCTTTCCCAGTTTCTGCAAAACCCAAGCTGATGGTGTCTTTCGAGAGCGGCTACAAAGCACAGCTAGGACTGAGGGCTTATTACTGCTGGTGTTTTGGTTTGGGCCACAGAGTACAGAACACACATAGCGTCACCCTGATCTTATCTGGCCCCATCTCCAAGCAGCAAACAAAAGGAAGAAGACACAGAATACTTATCACAACACAGATTTAATTTCTTAGGCAGTTATAAAATTACAAAGAGCGATGGGCTAGCAGTGAGAGCCAGACACTTGGTGAGGCGGAATGTTAGACAGATTTTTCCACTTATCGACACAGATACTGAACAGATTAAGTGAGCACTGCAGGATGCAGGGTTTTTTCCAGGTGAGGAAGCAAACGCAAGAGCAAATAGATCCAAGTAGACAAAGGGTTGAGTCAACACCCCATAGAAACCCAGAGCTACAGGTTCAGGAATAACTCCCCACTCCTGAGAAATGAGTCGGACACATGCAAAGGCAGCGCAAGGGGAGTCAGCGTACAGATCGCTGCAGCTGCATGGTCAAGCCACAGCACTGGGACATCTGTAACGAGCACAACTGTAGCTATTTGCAAGCCAGAATAAAAACTTCTTGTCCGTTATTTTCAAGGCAGTGTAAGATGAGATTTGCCAATTTGAAGAGTGTTAAAATGAAGGCATGTCATGGTTAGAAAAATAGGAATTTGCTGAATTCCTTTGGTTGTGCAACTGGAATCTGAAACGATTTATTTACAGTCAGAGCCATGCTTCCTTCATTGCAAGCCTTTCACAGTGCAGCACAGATTCCAGAAAAAGAAAGGCCTGCTCTGCACATGTGGAAAAGGCACTCTGCCTTGCTCTCAGATGTTAACAGGTTAAATCAAGGTGACTGTTAGCCAGGACAGCTGGAGCACAGAATAAAACTCTCCAAACCTCTGCAGTGATCAATCCCCACCAATGCTTTGGACAAAGACTCCTGTCACTCTGCAAACAGCAGCAGAGCATCTGCACACACAAGTGGTATACCGAATAGCTTGGCAACCTACAAAGAAAGAAATTCTACCCTCTTGCTGCATGTTGCTTTGGTGCTAATGCCATTATTAGAGCCAAGAAAGCACAGCATGGGATGTAACAAAGACTGCTCTGCTGATCGGCTTCTCAGGGCTCTAAGCTAACCTACTCATCGAGCTGGTGGCTGTTCAGTTCACTCCTCCCTTTTTACTATTACGCATAGGTCAGATGCGAGTTTCCTCTGCGGAGACACCTGTCGCTGTATTAAGAGTCTTCTCATATTTGTGTTCAGGCAGACTTGAAAAGCCACCACCTCTACCCCCATCCTCTGTAGAAAGAGGCCCAAGAAACTCACTTGCGTAGGACCTGAAGCAGCAAGGTACACGCACACATCTGATACCAGAGGGAGCACTTGCACAAATGTCTTGCTGAACAGGGCCACAGAAGAAACAGCTTTTACTAACCTCTTTATGCTTTTTACTTCCTCCTCCTCTGCCAGGCCCAGCCTTTCAACTGCTAGATTTGTATCTATCACTTGTATTTTGGAAACAGTGACATAAGAAGAGACCAGAGCAGATAAAAGCTTTCTGCCTCAGAACTTGAAATACTAAGTAGGGTAAACAGACAGATGTCGAGACAGCAGCAGAGTATGTACACTCGCTACCTATTTGCACATCAAGAGAAACAGCTCCTTCCCTACGGTACTCACTGGGAACAGATCCCACTGCAATCTAAGACCTGAGTTTAGGATTCCAAGTTTGTAAGTGTTCCCCCCTCCCCAGCTTTGGTTGTTTCAGTTGTCTATCTCTGCCCCCAATCCTCTACTGACTTAAAAAGCTATCAGGAAATGCAGTCTGTATCTAGAGAGTGACACAGAACACACACCTTCCAAGGAAGGTCAGTCTAAAAATGAGAGGGGCTGTACAGGTGTTCCCATGCGGCATGGCTAGAAGCCCACGGCCACAGCACAGGGGTAGAGCCTCTTTGGCTTACCCTGGGGAACCCAGGGCTGTTAGACCATCAGAACAGAAATGTTTAGACACCACCTGATCCACAGAGCATAACAGTGCAATCATATGCTCCATACTCAGGTGAGGATGCAGCTGCAAACAGCATTTCTAGTATGTTTAAGAAAAAAAGCCCCATACATCTTTGTGTCATTGGGATAAAACCCCAACCTGAAAGGCTTCTAACTTTGGTAGCATACCACAACAGGGTGGTTACTGAGGGCGAAAGGCCATCAGAGGGAAATGATATTAGTCATATTTTATCTGAGAAAAAGTTTATATCCTTATAAAATAAAGACAAACTACTGTCACCACTCAAATACACTGTCAGTGGGGACCAGAAACCACCTACTCCACCCTACTAGCTTCCATGCTGGCTGATCACTAACCCCAGAATATTAATACTTTTGCTCTCGAAAAAGATTTTCCCAGTTACAACAACAACAAAAAAGACAGATACTTTAACTGGCTTCCAGCTTCTACTTAAGAATGAACCAAGCAGGGCATAGCGATTCAACAGTCAGTGTGTGGCTCAGGAGCAGGAGCATACTACAGCATATGGAAGACACAAATACAGTGAATACAGGATCTCCAACTCACCTGTGGAAGATAAGGTGTGAAAGTTAAGAAGAGGGTAAAATTAGTACAATAAATGTTCTCATTTTTTAGCAGTAAAAGTTAGTAAATACATTAAGGGGTATCTTACTATGTAAGATGGCCTTTGTTACACTCAAGAGTTGTAAAACTTGTGTGCTTAGGAGACCTGTGTTACTTATGCCTGTTTACTGCTAACTCTAGTTGTGGCGTCTACGCCACGCCTCCAAGTATGTTATCAGGAATGTTACCAGCTTTAGTCTGGAACGAGAAGACATCTGACAGTTCCTGAGCAGTTCAGTTTGCCAGCAAATCTCACTGAGCTTATTTATATTTACTCCAAGACTTGTATTTTACTCTGCAGTTATGAGCTCCACAGCAAAACTGATAGCACTTGCAGGAAAAAAAAAAAATCCAGACCATGGAATTTAGTTGCCAGCCAAAGCTTAAAGTCAAAAGACTAAGTGAGATTTCAGCATGGCTCAGTGGTTTGCTTTGAACATGCTGGGTTCTGGAGAGAACACCACAAGCCACACCAGCCAACTACTTAGGACAGTCAAGGGTTTTCAGTGAATAAACAAGCCTGATCCCTTCTCTCCCACACGTGCTCATATAAGAGCATCTTCCACTCACACAGACGAACAGTAGCCTCACTGACACAGGCAGCTCTCTTGGTAGGGGCTACCATCATCTTCTGCACTTTTAGAGGAAGGGAAAGCCCACCTGCCCACACAGGGCTTTGGGGACAAAGACCACTGCCTGCTATTGCTTGAGAGAAGACTTGTTAACAGTACCAAATCCTAAAAGCACACCACTGTCTAGTTGTGGTAGGGAGTTCACCCATAGCTGGAGTACTCAGCTTCTCTCCTTCCCTCAAGATCTGCAACTTCCTTGTCTTGTTTTATTTCTTTGCAAGCAGTCAGTAGAGGGAAAGGAAGCAACCCACACTGCTACACAAAAGGCAAAGCAGGCTCATTTTGGCAAAGGAAAGTAACACTCACCAAGTACTTTGCTAATCACTTGCTCACTAACTGTTATCCAAGACTTAAGAGAAGGCACATTACAACCCTAAAAATAGTCTGCAGCACTGCTCAGCCTTGGAAAGCCCTAGCCAGGGTCAGGGCAGTTAAGGATTTATTCCAAAACTGCCAAAGAGACAACCAGTCCTTGGAGTGTATCACAAAAGGTACTCTGATGAAAGGGGGGCGGGGGAGGAAAAAAAAAAAAAAAAAAAAAAGAGAGCAGCACTGTTATCTAGCAGAAGAAAATAAATCTTTCAAAATCATTTATATTTACATTAGTATCTGGAAAAAAATCATGAACCTTCAACTATTGGAGCCATACACTCAGCCCCAGACTGAAGAGAAGCAAGAATTGAGAGCTATGCCTTCCAGCTGAAAACCTTAAGGCTGTTTAAAGAGCAGGGCTGCCATGCTCTGCAGGGACTTCCCTCCAGCCTGACAGATTCCTTGCTTTGGATAATTTAAAAAAAGTATAAAAAAAGGTTATTGCTACTCTGCCAAGGAAATAAAGACAATCTACAGGAGAGAAAGAAAGTGCATTCCAAGACTTCTCTAAAAAAATCCACAAGCTTATCAGCCACTATGGGCTGTAGACACCCCAGTACTAAAGGTGTACAAACAAGAGTCTCTAGCAATTCCTGCATTCTAGCTTTCTTCCTGCAGCAATTCCTTTTCTTCCCTGTAAAGGCACTTTCTATATTCTATATCCTTACGCAGGGAAACACTTCCAGTTTTCCAGCCCAACAAACAGAACAGTCCCACAAATACACAACATTCAGAAGGAATTTTAATTAACAAAATGGTCCAGGAAAGGGGAGGGAGAACCCAAAAAAACAGGCCATTGCATTTGAAAGGTTGCATGTCAGTCACTAGGTATGCCTGCAAGCCCATGCACAGGAAACCATTTGGACCTTTGTCAGTGCAGAACTAGTCTCAGCTTCCAGAACCACTTCTCTACTCCTTCCTTATATAAGCTAAATATTATATACATATATAAAAAAAATACAAACTTGAGTTTGTTATAAAGTGGCTTCTCTCTCTCCCCCTCCTATGCTTGCTTGGCACATGAACGCATGCAAAGCTAGTAGGCTCTGAGGGCTGCACAAACAGCAGGTTTTGGCAACAAAAAAATAAACACAGCTAAAATAGATAAGCAAGATTAAAAGCCACTGAATTGAAAACCATATATTTTTCCAATTGTATAGAATTAGAACTACAGCTACGACTTAAAACTGTAAGAGTCTGTCATCCTCTCTCCCAACTCATGTCAAAGTTCATAGCAGCATAACACGAGATTCCTCAAGAAACATCAAGCCAGTGTTCTCTGCTTCAGGAGTGAGTTCACAGGTCAAAGTTTAGTCCGTCCGAAGGATCATGGGAGGATGCTCACTGTCTTCATCCAATCTAAGTGAGTTGGTTTCATCTTCCAGGCAAACTCCACCCACAGCACCCAGGTCATCCGTATAGGCTGGAGAGAAAGGAACAAACAGTTGGGGGATCAGCAGCACAAAATAAGGCTTGGATCTAAAGTGAATGATTGGAGCTGAAATAGCAGACATTACTTGCAACAGTTTCACTGCTACCCTATGTTTGCTTTCATCATGATCGTGCTTCTCCAAGCCAAGAGCAGTTTATAATAAAAATTAAATTACTCTGAGTGTGTGCAACATGTACTTGTGCTTTGGGCAGGCTGATGTTCTTAATCTCCACCCATGCATTACAGCTGCAACTGCAGTCTTGAGGCTATACATGCAGACAGTCCTTCCTCTGCAGCTGAAGCACTGACCTGAGTGCCATACAAAGATGGTAGAAGCTCCACTCGAGCTGCAGCATTAAGCAAATTCTCATTCTCTCAATTTAACAGAGCAGCAAAATCAGGCTAAAAGGTCACTGTTCCCGTAAAGGAATGGTAAGTGCTCCTATCAACCTTGTTAAAAAAAAAAAAGGGGGGGGGCTATAGTTCAGATACTTTGCATGAGGTCTGGATGCAGGACTCCTGTACGAAATAGTTATCTTAGGGCATTTCTAGAACCATTTGGCAAGTGCTGCAACTATCACTAATCATCCACAATTCAAGACAAAGTTCTACTCAAAGTAGCAGAGATGTACAGTAGCCTCCTATAGATGGATCAGTCAAGTGCTCTTTTCCTACTGCTCACCAATGCTCCACATCACACCCACAGTTATGAAAAGCTCAGTGTCGAAGTAGACAAGCTCACAGCCGTCTAGAGAGAAGCAATATGCAGAGGTGCTCTCTGCTCCATTTCCAGCCTTCTCCTTACCATGCCTTGTGGGTGAGGAAGGCACATATGTACCTTTAGTCACAGCAGCACTGTACGTCTGCGCTACCAACGGCCGGTCATGGGATGCAGACTCTAGAATTTCGTTGGCTGGCTCCATACTGCCATCAAGCCTACCAAGCAGAGAGAGGTTAGCTGGAGAGGTGATCTACCTGGGCATAATACAGCTTTAGTTGACAGCTACAGAAGAATATCTCATTAGATATGCAAGAATAATACATATACATATGTAACAGGAAGAACTTGGTCCCTCCATTCCAGAGAACTGTCAAGATGGCATTTGACAACATTTCATATTTAATACTGAAGATGCATCAGTGACATGCTTGCCTCTGACATGGCATCAGAATCTAAATGCTAGTAGTCGATGCTGTGAAAAGACTCAAAACAACAGCGCATGATTAAAAAAAAAAAGTAACCATTCCAATCTGCAACATTACAGATTGTCTTTTGAGCTCTGTCCACAACATAAGCGGTTGCTTCATACACATATAATAGAAAACCCTATAGTGAAGGTATTAAAGTATTTCAGAGATTAAGAACTTGATAAAAACTTCCCTCTGAGACTTCATTTCATCTACAAGTGAAACAAGAGGTCATACCTTAAAATGATCAGATAAAGGTATGATTTTTGACTAGTATTATAGATTGGCCAAAGCTGCAAACCTGAATTATCTTCATGAGTTATCGGCGGCTTTAATCCTATGATTGATCATGTAACTAATCCAACTATATTACCGTAGCTTTTCATGTCAAACATTATTAAAAAATAACAATGCTGGGTCGTATTTTCCTTAAGTGTTCTACAGTACCGCTACCGAACATTAGTTGGCTGGCCTACATGCAAGGAAGTTTAATAAGGACACTGGTAAAGAGAGAATACAGAAAAATTCATAGGCCAGATTCCCCTCTGCGAAGTCAGAGCAACATCTCTTTCTCATCTCTGTAACCGCTTCATTTATTGATGAAAAGGATTCTGTCAGACGTTTCAAGTTCTTGTTTAAGTAACTCAACTCAAACTGCCAAGAGGAAACAGGATCATACAGCTAACAGTGATTGATCCTTCACTGCGATCGGACAGTGTTAAGTTTCTGCTGGTAAAGCGGTGCTTAATGTAGTAGATACTAGGAAGGAAGGCGCAGGGGGATTCTGAAGTTACTCATTCATGTCAGAGGTCTGGAAAAAGATTAGTTTAAAGAAATGAGCTGTTCCAAGTTAGACTTTTGTACAACAGAACTACGTTTAAGAACAAACTGGATTTTGTGAACAAATAAAATACAACAGTCCTCAGCTAACATGGACTTACTTGTGCTGCTTCATTAGTGTGCACTCTCCTCCTTCTTGAGGGTCTAGGTTGTACATGTAGAGATACCCATCAGCAGCTCCCACCAATAAACGAGGGATCTTCTGGATTCTAGAAAGGTTTAGGGGAGAGCAACAAATTAATAAGAAGAAAGCACACTCTCCTCTCCTCCCATGATTTTATGCCATTACTTCCCACACTCTTACTCGTAGACAGAGAACACTAAGTTAGACAGAGCACCTAGGAAAAAACTGTGCGTAAAAAAAGGTAAGGCATAACCACACTTCGGGGCTAATGGGATGCCACAGAAATTGAGCAACTTCTATATAACCCAGTAAAACAGATTCAGAAGTTACCACCCTGTTACCAAGCTTTGTGCAACTCCTGAGACAAATATTCTAACGGGAAGTATTTACTTATTTCAGAAATGTTACAAGGCTTAACTATTCCTTAAAGGGTGCTTTGAGATCAGAGGAGTGGGAGTACAGACGTGAAGTCAATTTAGCATAAAGACTGTAAAACCCCCACAAAATAAGCTTACTACCGCTCAGCTTATTGCTTTGGTAGCTGTGCCAAATGGCACCTGCCTTTGGTGAAGACAGATTAAAGATTCTATTTACTCCTCAAAATTAACTTTAATGAATGCTATGCTGTTTCAGAGACAAGAACAACATGAACTTGCTTTCAAAGACATCTTTAATGGTTAGTCTGGATTGCCTAATTTTGCAATTCACTAACACAACACACAGTATCACTCCCCCTAGCACTAACGGAAGCAAATGGCGTAAGCCCATGGGTCTGTTCTCAACACTCTTCTTTCAAAATTAAAAGACATCTTTAAACAACACTTAGAAATAATCTATTCTCATCCAAATATTATGCCTTTTCCTCCTCCTCTCGTAGGACTGTGAGGTGTTAGCTCTAACACATTGCTCTTGAACGGGAAGAGGATTTGAAATGATTACAGGTGATCCATCGCTGTGTGTACTACCCGCCCTGCTGGAGAGGAGGTTATGTCCTATAGTGTCAGCCTCTCCATAGCCCAACGTGGCAATCCAGTGGGTGATGAATGCAGGCTCAATTTCTTTACTCACGTGGCAAGTGCACAGATGTTTTTGTGCCCACAGAACGGCAGGCGGACTGTAGCAAAGGCTCTACCCTGGTTGAACATTTCTGTTACTTGAGAGGGCAGATAGCTTGTTGAGGCCATCAGCACTTTTCCAAAGTAACCTGTCCAGGTTGTAGGCTCTTCCTGAGGTCTACAAATCAGAAGAGAAAAGTGACTGACTTTGCTTTCACATTAGAAAGGCGTGTAAACACTCTGAAACGTTTTTCTAAGATGTTAAGCAGCTATTTGTTTCTCTTCAGAAATAACTAACACCCTTGAGAACTCTAATGCACTCCATTTATGCTACAGGGCACAATGTATCCTACAGTACCCTCAACCTGTTATTTAAGCATGTTTGACTGTAACCTGATACTTCTGCTTATAAAACTGCATTTCATAAGGTTCATTATACAAAAGCAAGATCTACCAAAGAGTGCTACACTTCAAGATTTTATTCAACTGTCTATTACTAAGCAAATCATTGTTTCCAACAACTTCCGCTGAAATGCAAGTTAAGACTGTCCACTAAAATCACAAATAGGAACATTTTACAAGCTGATGCCTTTTAAAGCCCTATAGGCAGTTAGAAGGCATTGCTGAGATAGCTCTTCCCATATGGATGTGAGAAGAGGTGAAATGCAAATGTAACTGAAAATATTACAGCCGCTCCACATTCCTCTGCCAAAGATGGCCAATTTCTCTTCGGCAGAAATACCTTTTCTGTTCACCAGGAGAACAGTACAGAGCTCAGCCACAGTTGCTGATTCGTAAGTGACTTCTGAAGCCCTTTACTTAACAGAAGTATTCAAAAGAAGTCTGTCCACACTTTGGAGAACTCATCCTGTTGAGTATAGTTTATTTTAAGGCCTTTTCCTTGAAAAATCTAAGGCAACTCTGAAACGTACTTTTCTTTCACAGTCTCAAGTTTGAAGATATGCACCGTCTCTGTGTTACTGGATGCAGACAGAAACATGCCATCCATGCTGAAAGCCAACGAACAGATGCTCACACACCTAGGGGGCAAAAAAAAGGAAAAACAATGAAGCATTATTTTTGACATTCAGTACTGTACCAAATGGTGTAAGAAGCAAGCTAGTGTTAACTAACTCATGGGAATTGACTTAAATGAGAATATTACTTCTCCATTTTGGTAGGTAGGAGTCTTTCTGCACATTCACCACTAAGGAGCTCCATAATGTTCACACAAGCTGTACTGCAAGAGCTTGGAGGAACTGTGGCTGCATGGTAGACTCACCTGCTCTTCCTCTCCTGTCAGAGATTGCAGGTGACTCGCAATTAAGCTGAAGTATTTGGCTTAATTAATAATTAAGCAGATTTCTCAAGTCACCACTGCTTCGCAAATAAGAAAAAAAGAACATTTCCATAGTAAGTATTCTGAACGCTCTGATACCTTCTTAAAGCCCTTCAAGAGCAAGATCCCCATTAATGATGTTCAACTCTGATGTACACCAGATATGGGGGGTTAATTAGTAACAATCTGAACTCAGTCTTACCTCTGTATAAAGTACAGTAGAAATAGAGTTGCTAGTTACCACAAATCATAGTACCATTTCACAATGGCTATCAATGATCACAGCACTAGCAGGATTTAGAAGAGAGAGAGAATATTAGATGTACTGCCTCCAATCGCCATTAAGAATACAATTTATCTTACAAAAGGTGACCCACTTTAAACAAGTTCCCTCACCAATAAATTTTTAAAAGGCAAGAAGGAGTACAGTTCTGACAGGATTGATTTATGGATAGCCAAGCCCAAAGGAGTGAAACTGGAAGACATTCAAGCTGAAACTGTCATAAGTGTACAGGCAGGGATGAATAGAGATGAAAATACGCAAAAATCAGGATGCCAGCTCAATTGCAGAACATACTGGAGATCTACCATACGGAATGAGCTTCAGATAATTAGCCCAGTTGAACTTTACCTCTTCACTCCCCTTCGGAATTCAAAGAGTTTCTGTCCCTCTGGAATGGAAAACACTCTTATTACCGTCCCCTGTAAAGAAAAAAAGAAAAAATTATTTGTTTCACGTTCATTCATTGTGTATTAGCTCTAGTGAGCAGAGTACAATCACAAGCAGCAAACCATTTTGCTGTTAACTTATTGCTGTTGATGCACACCACATACTAGCATGAAATATTTATGGAGCTTGTTCGTAGGATGTGTTTGAAGAGCAGAGAAACAACAAGAGGTGGGAGCTACTAACGTAGAGAACAAGCTATGCATCAAGAACAGCCCTTCTTATCATATTTGATCATGAAAATGACCACACTAGATGAGTACCACAAGCACAGTCACCTGGATGTCTTCGTGTCTTTATCAGATGCAATCAGTTACACTTTTATATTCTAAGCTTACTACCCAAAAAGCAGAGGCTTCAGACTTTCTAATTTATACAATTTAGATGGACAATTTGTCATTGTGTGCCAAAGACTGGCAAGATACTTCTCTCTGGTCTGACTTTAGCTGTCTTGTTTTCATTAGGAAGACAGCATCAAGACAAGACAACTAATTTCTAGCAAGTATCCTGCACTAAAGGGAGAAACACTTAGAGGATTGCCCTGATTACAGCCAGATTAAAATGTATTTATTTAAATAACCTTATTATCCAACATTTCACAGCATGGAAATTGTGTCAAATATCATTAACAGTTCTTAACTTAGGTTTGCCATTATAACTGTAAGCCTTCTTTTTTGGCACTCGCGCATGGAATTCTGCATGCTTAAACTTACTTAAAATGCTTAGAAACAAATTTCATTTTTATCACTGTTGGCAAGTCAATAAAAAGCCACGTTACCTTTTCTGATGCAGTGGCAAGTTTAGTACCACTTGCGTCAAATGCCAAAGCAGCCAAGGGACTATCATGAGCTGGGATCATATTAGCAGCTCTCTGCAGGAGTGAATCAATAAAGTACAACCTTAGTACAGTACAGGTTAAAAGCTACATGTTTGCAGCTTAAGACTGCATATTTAAGAGCATTCAAGGCAAATAAGGGTCTTAAATATTGAAGCTGTTGTCCATAAAGTGTTTCAGTAATTGCTAAGTACATAAAATTATCACTGAAGCATGTGCATAGAGAGTACAAGCAGTAGGATACTTAAAAGACAATTAAAACAGAAATTACTTCACTTCGCTCCACCCATTTGCCCAACTCTACTCAAATCTAATATTAGTGTCTGTGTTTTCTTTGCTGACGTTCTGCGAAGCCTAGCTATGAGAGATACTTCAAACTGATGTAGGGGAACCTGACTGAGTGTCTAGCAATTCCTCTCTGAGCAAGTTAAATCGTTTCCAAAAACTGCATCTTTAGAAGTGGAAACAGCATTCACAAAGATCCTTACCAGATTGATGGTGTCAAAGACTTGTACTTCTCCAATAGTTGCACTTCCTGGATAGGCCAGGTAGCAGTTATCATTATTTATTGATAAAGCACACAACCCTAAAAGGGATGCAGAAACAGAATTAGAAAGAGGCAAATTCCAAGACTTATGCAGCAAAACTTTCTGATTCTGCATTTGAATATTACAAAGATAAATCAAGTTATCCTCACAAGGTATCAACAGAAACAGAACAAGGATGAGTAATCTCAGAGTCAGCCTGCAACATACTTAACTATTTAACGCAAGTTAAAATTTAATATAAAGTAGAAAAGGAAGAATACCAATAGAGCTACAGTAACTGATTAAGCAGTAGAATTTTCCACGTCTGCCATGACACCTAAAGGATTAACCTGATAAAGCCTTTAACCATACCAAGTGCTGGCAAAATCCAGTTTGTATCTCTACTACTTCTTTCTAACATTTCAACACATCCGCTCTAGGAGACTAAAACACTGGGAAGATGCAGTTTAAGGCAGAGTCTGCTATTTGTTCTCAAAAAGCTCACCTGGATTAAATGTGTAGGCTTTAAGACAACACTCATGTATTTAATTCGTTACTTTTATTTGGAAGTGGAATTAACAATGCTACAGTTCCCTCTAGGAAACGTCGTACGTTGACACAGAATGCACCTTTCAGAGTTATGCTATCTTCTAACAACACACTTACCGGCAGGATTGGGAGGTGTCTCCCTGATTGTATGTAATACCTTCATGTCTCGTATGTTGTGTATATAAAGAGACTCTTCCAGACATACTATCAGCCTCTAGACAGGGGAAAGATGAAATGCTGATATCAAACTGGAGTTTACATTAATTTATCAATCCTAAAAAATTGTATCCAAAAAAGCAGTAGGTACCTTTCAACAGAGAAAAGGTTGTACCCACCTGATGGGAAGAAATAAGAGTCTGATAGAAGATACACAAGTTACACCTCTTGACAAGGCTTCAACAGCGCAATACTACACTCGGTCACTTGAACTGACCAGTGCACTTGACTTCTACGCTAGTGCAAATTGATTTAAATGAAAATTATTTACATTACTAGTTTAAGTCAGCAAGCCAGAAACCTTCATTTAAAGCTATTTTAATTCTTATTCTGTACATGCCCTTATGTATTCCTCCCCCTCAAGAGGCCAATTCACATGTGGAAATAATTTTCTGCTTTGGCTAAACAGACAAAAACAGAGAAGACTTTTTTTAACCATTTATAGAGCCTATTACTTATAACCATTTGTGAGGGGCTTTTTTTTTTTTAAACTTTGATTAAATTCTTCAACATCTCATTTACACTTTCATAGACTACATCTGGATGACTAACAAGATGTTACTCATTTAACACTACCTCACTACGCCAAAAATCAAATTAACCAGTGTTTCCCCTTATGGTTTTAAACAGGAATCCCATCCTCCCACACCTGATCTTTGGGGGCAGGAACGGACACTAAGAAAACTTTCTCCTTCCAATGCCATTCTCTCTAGTTTGAATGAACTGGTCGAAGACGGAGAAGTCTGTCTTTGTAGAAGAGCCTACTAATGATTTAGCAATACAGCAAACTATGGTTCCAGGTACTTAAGTCAAAAACTTCACCAGTTCAGTTGGTTGGGTTTTTTTTTATTTTTTAAAAGAATTCAGCAAACTATATTTAAAAACATAAAAAGTGAATAGATAATAATTTTAAGTTTAGGCCTGAACAGAAATTGTCAGTTTCACATACTTCCACATTTAGGATCACAAGATGATTCACACTGGGAGGGATCTCAGGAGGTCTCTAGTCCAACCTCCTACTCAAAGCACACCCAGCTTACTCAGGGCATTTTCCTAAGTAAATACATAAACATAGAACCAAAAATACTTAACGAAATATGAGTACTGAGATGCCATACAGAAGCTACAGTTGGAAAAGTGCAAGTTAATTTCAAATAGCAGTTCTGTCACCAAAGGAAGAGACATCAATCAGCAAAGGAAGTGCCAGAATAAGATCCACAACCCCTTCCTGTATTTTCACCTAGTCAAAATTACTACTCACCTGTCTATTGAGTTTGACAGCCAAGATGGTGTTGGAGTAACTGTAGTTGCAAATCTCTGTCCCCTTCTTAAAGTGACAAACTTTCAGCTTGCGTGGAGCTTTAAGGCTAACTATGGCCACCAGACTACTGGAGAACAGCCTCTCCACAATGCACACATCTTCTGTGTCAGCTGAGGAATCACAATAATGAGGGAAAAATACAGAGGGAGATTTCAGGGAAGAAGAATGATGCACATCAACAGGAAATACTGTCTAAGAAAATACAGTTTAACACCACAAACATTCTGCCGCAACAGCTCAGAGTCAAGGTGGGATGCAGGACAGGCTTTTAAAGAAGAAAATCTACATGGTGAATGCCGATTTACACAGATTTTCTCCCTGCTCCCCACCCTAAGGTGTCATACAAGTTTATGTTTCAGAGCAGAGTATCTACTCCCCCCCGCGCAAAAATGCGAAATACAAAAAATGGCAAATTGTCAAATTCTGGAATTCTACAATCTTCTCTTATCTCTGTAGAAACCTAGGTAAGCAAAGGTTTTTGTTTGGGTTTTTTCTGGTGTGCTTTTTGTTTTGCTTTCAGAGCTGTATTATGCATGGAAGGGTTTTTGATGACCAAAAACATTGGAGTTTCTGCACACCTCTCCATGAGGAAAGAAAGGTTATTGTACTCAAAGAAACTAGCAAACTCATTTGTTATAAGACTGCTTCAGCCTCTGATTAGTATTTTTACATATACCATCTTTTACGTGACAGTCCCTAAAAACAATTGGTACAGGAATCACCAAAGCCCAGCATGTATGCATAGCCATAAAACAGCATTACTTATGTCAAGCGTTCTACTATGGAAGCACTGGAGGCAAAGGAGGAACACAAGCCACCATTCGAAATATGGGGAAGTCAGCAGGAGGGAAGAGAGTACAGGATCTCCGGCAAAGAAGCCCTTTCAGAGCATTCGGTTATAGTACAGTATTGGACCAAGCTGGTTAGGAGTCCAAGTCCCACCACCGGTTACCCTGGCATGTGTGCTTCCCCCTCCTATCCCCTGAAGCTCCCCTCCAAAAGCCCCAGAGACACAGTTTTCACAGCAAGAGAAAACTGGAGAGAGTTTTACCACTCTCTGCAGCTCTCCCATAGCTACCAGCCGCTACTGGCTATACCTGCCCTTCCACTGCAGACCTGAATCAAGTCAAGCAACTTGAGCCTTTAGCCTTGATTCATCAAAACAACCAAATTTTTCAGAAGTCAGTATCTGGATTAGCTCAATGTTTAACACATTCCAAACTGTAAAACTTCCAGTAGGAAAAAAAAAAAAAAAAAAAAATCAAAAAACAAAAAAGCTTTTTTCCTGTAGGCGTCTGTTTTGGCCAAGAGACACATTAAGTAATTAATTGGCACTGTTCTCACCACCAATGACAGAAATTCCCTGAAAAACGTTCTGTCCAACATTCTCAGCATACGACAATGTCATCACTGTGTGACATGTCTGCTTTGAAAGTGCTTTTTCTGGGCAGTTATTTCAAGAAAAAGAACAGAAAATATTTAATGCTCTACATTCTTTTGAGGGAGAGAGAGAAGTAGCCTCCTTATGGAAAAGGAGCAGGTTTATGCTAAGCATTTTCAGTATTCTTTGCAACATAATTGACTTTTATCTAAATCTCGTATTTAATACGGTACTTTTCCAGAGACGAGAAAACAGCTCACAGAGGCTTTGAAAATTCAATTTCCTCAAGCAACAGGGGATAATGCACTTTAGCAACGACTTTGTTTTCAAGGAATTGTTGCCCATTTTCCTGATGCCACACAGAACACATGAAAAAGATATAAAAAAATCTGCTTCAATAAATTTACACGTAGACTTTCAAATGCAGAGGTCCATGTTCCTTGAATCAGACTAGTAACAGAAAAGATTCTCAAATATTTTACAGCATAGGTTTTCAGGTTCCTATCTGAGCCTGGAGTCCTTCATGCTGATGGCATCCTTTTACAAGAGTCAGGAAGAAGACCAGCACCCGGGTGACCCAAAACCCACAATCTGACTGCTTCCTGCTCCTGGGCAAGCACAGCTTCTTTCCCCATTCAGGGGCAATTGTGTTAAGACACAGCTTCTGGGATTTATTACTCTCCAAGGCAGGCAGAACTGGTATTTCAGAGGAGGAACAGCAGCACAGATTCAGATGGAAAAAGTGCTGTCCTATGCTGCGCTGGTGGGAAGCGTAGGCAGCAGGGAAGGCACACAGGGAAGAGCACTATCAAGAACTAAGCAGTCACAGGCAGAATAAAAAACTTTCAACAAGGAAAAAGCTTCAAAGGTATAGACAATCCTTCAGTCTGACCGTAAAAAGATTTGCTATAATACAGATAGTTACCTTTAGAGAAAAGCTTTATGATGGGCTTTTAATTAAATTCACTTTAAAAATACAGGATGCACCTCTGTTCCTTTGTCTTCTAACAGGAAGAAGTGATAAAATCTCTTCACAGCTGCCAAGTCATGTATGCTTCCTAACGAGCAACCACTGAAGTAGAGTACCAGGCTATACTGCACATCCTACATTCAGCTGACCTGAATTAATCATATGTTTAGAAGCACTAGTTAAGTCCTATAGCAATGCTGTTAATGACAGGGGTTTTTTATTTTTCTATACACTACACAAGTGAGCATTGCCAGGAACTCAGATTCAAAATACAGCACAAACATAAAGAACTGCAAGATGGTTTAAGTATCAGCAGTGAGGGGAGAACAAGCAAATACATAACAAGATTACAGTTTCATAAACACAAGCATGTAGCATCACAGACAAGAGCTGGTTAGAACCAGCTAGATTACGATCAGCTGTGCTTTTATTCCATTTTTAATCCAAGAACATGAAGCATGTTATAAGCATTCATTAAGCCTTAAAGCACCCTTCAATCTAATACTTATTTTTACAGGGGGTCAACTGAGCAGGGAGTTAGGCGATTTGTACGGAATCACAGTAGAAGTCAGTGATGGGAGCAGACGAAGAAACCTCCCATTCCTTTCAGTTGTTCTCTCAAACACAAGACAGCTGGGGCACATTCTGTAGTTTACTTTAGACACCTACACATGAACTGGCAGATCAAATATTACAGAAGAGAGGGAGGGGTCCTTAAAAGTGCTCACTCAAAACAACACAAAGTCTTTAGACCCACTTAAACTAAATTGGGAGGCAGGAGGCACATGTCTGGGAGGCTTTAAGCTACCTTTCCCTGCAGAAAGGAGGCACCCAATACACCAGAAGCCCGCCACCCAGTTATCAAGTTTTAAACAGGCATGGTTTGCAAGCCCAAGACTGAAAATTATTTAACTGCATACAAAAAATGAAGATCTCAAATATTTCGATCTGCTGCAGACACTGCATGCCCTACAAGCAAAGGTCAGGACAGGCTGGCTTACACAGCTCAAACCTTCACATTTTCTACTAAATGTTACCTCACACTCTGTGCTCTGTATTTACAGACTTAACACTCATGGAAGAAAACTTACAATATCGAAGAGGTTAAGCCAATACAGGCATCCCAGAACAGTCTGAAGACAAGACTGGAATCAGCAGGTTTAAATTCCAATCCCAGCTTCTTTATCAGTTTATTGCAATATTGTGAGCAAGGCACTTTATCCAATTTGTAATTTTTCTTTCAAGGACTACCTTGAAGAAGCAGTCCTGCAAAGTTCAGCTCAGTCTCTCTCAGTGTGTTTATTCAGTGTCTCGTGTAACAAGATTCATCTTCACCGAGTCTCCTGGGTTGATATCAGGCCAGATACTGTAAGTGCCTAACATACTACTGAGGTCAGGTACGTAAACTCAACAGCATAAAATGGAATTCAAGCCACCGATTAACCAGTACAACCAGACCATGACTCAAACAGGCAGGTGTAGCTGCAACACAGTTTAACCTGACCACAGGTGCCTAATTTGAACCTCACAATTACTTCTCTCCATTGACTGTATACAGAATCAGGCTGTCACCACAGATAATAGGTGATCTGAATCACACACCATTTTCAAACTTAAGATGCCAGAGGGTCAGTTCACTTAGGGTATGGAGTCTGAAGACAAGTCTGTTGTGTAGCATGGTACATCAGGATCCTAGTATAAATGCTGACATCATAGCCACTGGTACCATCTGTTCACATGGAGTTTACAAGAAAGCAAGGATACTCATGCATAGCACTCATATTTTAGTTATTAGCACCTCAAAAAAGGAAAGTCTATGAACTGCTGGTAAAACAGGGGTTACCACTTCTCTCCCACGCCTCCCTCCATTTCATCTCATATCCTACTCAACTGTGACCAGTATTGAGAAGTTATGGGTATTTGGATTATTCACCCTTTTGGACGAGTAAACCCACAGCTATCACGTTAAATATTATTTTTCCAACAGCAAATATTAGGATTAAAGAAAAAGATAATCAAGGCTTTGTTTTCTTATTTGATAAAGGTATATTAGTGGTTGCCTGCCTCAACAGCCAGCATAAAGACCCAAAAGACACTCTCCCACACCAGTAAATTCTCTTTTTTTTAATGCCCAGCTGCTATACAACCTGGCTATTGGACATAAAATTAGAAAAGCAAAGAGTTCTCCTCATAGCTATTACCAAATTTCACAAAATACCAGCTAAATTTAAATACAGAACACTGATATATAGTTTTACTCTGCCAGCAATCAATTGTTTTGTATTTGTGTGATATTTCATCAGATACTTAAGGTTCCTCTTATGTCAATTTCAAACAACCTGTGAAAAAATGAAACACATCTTATTCTTCCCAAATTCAGCCAACTGAGGGGATAAAAAAGAGAGAAAAAAAGAAGATACTCACTGCATTCATAGATCTGCTCTAATTTGTCCACAGAAGAAAGAGAGAAGAATTTGTAGCCTGATTTACTGCCAACTGCAAGGGATCTGAAAGAGAAACAAGCCAGTTAGGAACATAAACTAAATCAGCTGTGATTACCCTTGGACAGATTCTTACCCTATTCTAAAACTCCAGTTGGGTTAGCTCAGTACAAAGAGCAATAAAAACCTTGACCGAAAAAGCCACAATAGACACAGACAGCTTCCTCAACTCTGAAAAAGGCCAAATAGCTTCAGAATTACCCCAGGTGCGGAATCCTGCTTCACATTTTATGAAATGAGAGTTCACAGCTTAATGTAAGCCTACTGTCCAATTCACATTGGTGATTTCTCCACACAAACTAAAAGCTTTAGTGTGGAAGAAAGATGATGACTTGAATAATGTAATGCAAACCAATTACATCATTGCCTCATCATTAGAGGTGACCTCCAAGACCTTTTAAACTGAGCTGTCTGGGGATTTTCTGCTTTTGATACTGTTACGTTCCCCAACCACCCCAAAAGAGCTTTCATATTAAAAAAAATAAAAAGGAATTAAAGACTGCCAACTCTAATTTTCTCTGGTTTTATTTGATGACATTCTAGCACCTCCAAAGAACATTGTTAGGTCTCAGTCTTACAAATACTCATGCCGAATCTTTGATCGGAGGAGCCCTCTTAAAAATACTAGTCACTGATGTTAAACAGATTTTAACAATAGTAGAACATTAAAAAACTGACTACAAACCCTTCTTTCCTCCATTAGTCAATTTTCACACTTAGCTCACAGACCATTTAATTGCTTTTCCAGTCAGAGTCAAAGACAGGTCTTAAATTTTAAGCTAGAAAAACCTTTAGGCTTGTCTTGCAGGTCTTTACACATCAGGGCAGCAGACAATGGCACATTCTTATTTTCCCCTCCCCATGCAGAGGAGGATTTTATGCCACAGAATAAGAAAATTAAGTCAATACAGTTGTGCAGAAATGTATTAGTATGCTTATAGTTCATATATTTCTTACTGCCAGGACACATGGAGAAAGACTAATTAAATTCCAATAAAATGTATTTTGATATGCCAAACTGTGGCAAGTCATTCAATACAAGGCTCAAACCCCAATGCTGCCAGTCAGCCTGCCAAAATGCCCTTCTGAACTCAGCAAGAGGATTCTCTATAATTCAGATGCACTAACAATTAGCTCTGCATTTAGAATACAATACAGATTCCTAGATTTCTTGCTCTTTCCGCATTTTCCTCTCATGGCTCCAAAGTGAGCACTTTTTAAATTTCAAGGTGTTCAGGAGATTAAAAATTGTTCCTCAAGTGGTTTGCCCTCTGAAATTAAGATCCCAAGCTATAAAATCAACTTCTGTATGATGGTATGACCTTCTGTTCTAGAAAAAAGTACAACTGGCACAGTCTGGCTAAGAAATTATATTTGAGAAGGTTTAAACCTTCAAATTAAAATATGCACCATCCAGGCAAGACAAGTAAGCCTCCTCAGATTCAATAACCAAGATATGAAAAAAGCATATTAAGCTTAGAGACAAAGAAGCAACCATAAAACAAAGTTTTGTTGCTGCTCCTCTAAGTCACCTTAGAAATAGTGAATTTAATTTTACTTCAGACAAAATCGGTATGTTCAGCAGACTATATCTGATAAGTTGCCAAAGACGCTTCAGTGTTTTTCCTCAACTACTTTTGTACAACTCAATGAAAATCCAAATTCTGTGAAAAAAAAATAAAACTGTAATTTGGGGAAAAAAAAAAGTAATGAGTTAGCTTTTCTTAGATCATCTACTGCTTCCCTCAAAAGAAAGTTTAACAAAAGAATGATATTAAAACTGTCACTTCACAAAGGTAAACAAGCACTCAGTTGAGTTAAAAATAAATGGAGTCACAAGACTCCTTGCAATATAAACGATCTACAAAAGACATAGGATGATTTCCTTACAAAGAATTCCACAAAGCAGCTATTTGTGAGTGTATTACTAGGCAGAATTGATTCCTGTATTGTACTTGCAGCTTTAAATACAGAATATTGCTGTATCTATGTCTTACTGACAGTATCACTGAAACCAGTAAGGAAGCCCATTTTTCTTGTCCTACCAACTACCTATACCTCGTTTAAATAAGCTTTAGACAATAGCGAAAGCAAGCTGCATACACGATAAAAATCATTAGACTGAGTAGAAGCCAAAATGAAGATGCACAGAACGGACCTTGCCATCCATGGCAACTGCTTTTTGTTATTTCTTTCAGGACCAAGGTGATGAAGTCACAAATCATTTGTTTACACAGAACAGTTTGAGTCAGTATAATTAAACCTGTTTCAGTATACAAGTATAACTGCAAAACAACCCATTTTTCTTCTAGAACAGCATTCTTGGTTTTGGAGGGATTGAGTTTGTTTTGGTTATCTTTTTTTTTTTTAATGTACTCTCAAATTACTTCTTATGAAACTATTGGAAAAAGGCTTTTTATATGTAATAAGAGAACTCACTAGGCTGTTATACCAGCATAATCATAATGATTTAAATCCCCCATCTTCCCCCACAATGATATTACACTTAAGCCCTTAAGACACCTGATAGCTATCTAAATGACCAAATCCACAAAACAAGTATCAAGCCAAAATTACCTCGCCTCCAAAAAACGTGCAACCATATGGGGAAGAAATATGATCAATAATCCATTCAGCTATTGCTCAAATAGACAGTGGCCAACAAGAAGCTACTGTAGTTTATCAGAAGCTCTTTTTACAACATAGGTGTTATGCTTTATTATCACCAATTTTCAGAAGCTGATGAGACTGAAATTGAAAATAAAATCAATATAAAAAAATTGCCTTTTTTCTTCTAACATTATGCTACACACAGGTTTTTTTTAGCTTTATGTGTAGCCTCTATTACACACCTTAGACTGTAGACTTTGAGCTATTCCATCATCAAGGTTGTCTACTCAATACAAAATTACCAATATAGCCATGATTTATGAAACTGTGTTTACCCACTTTTTTCAAAGATAATACTGTAGTCTGATTCAAGACTACATAAATCTTGAGAGTATTTTCAAGAGCGGCTGTCATAAATAATTAAAACTAACCTCATCAAGCAAACAGTGTTATGAGATCTTTCACACGCATTTCAAGATGCTGACATTCTCTCTAAGTGCACTCACCTAGAGTGGGAAATCAGCTGGTTCAATCTCTCTGGCTCTTTAGAAACAAGTTTTTCAGATGGGTTAGAATCACATAGGTTTTCTCTTACTTCTTTAATATACATACAGAAGAAAGAAAACCAGTTTCTCCCCTTTACGTATCATAGAGGACCTTAACTATTAATCAGAAATATTCTACGTTAATCAGAAAGATCCTACTAAGGGTAGCTCTCTCAAAGATTAAAATCAATTGCAGCTGCAGTATAAACACAACTCCATAAGTCATTACTATTTTAAAAAACTTGTTAATTAAACCTACTTTCATTATGATACAGTCACATTATATTAATGCTCCACCTCATTTCAAAACCTATGTAAATTTCCAAAGACAAAACATTTTGTGAACAAAGGCTTATGATGAAAAGGGGGAAAATAATAATAACAATAATAAAACACAAATCAGTGAAATGACATAAGAAAAGAATTACTAAAGAAACTTACTTTGCTTTATTTCCCCCTCCCAAATGTCTGCTGAAACCAAAGTCGTAACATCTCACAAACATGTCTTAATAGAAGGGTCAAGAATGTCATTATTTTGGACAAGAGCTAGATATAGAAACTCATACGTTCAACAGATTTGTCAGCAACACTCTGACAACCCACAGGAGATTTTCCCATTGTTTTTCCATTAAAAGAAAACCAACACAAACTTAAATCTGCTACAGCAAAAGGAGACCAGACTTGCTCATCATTTAACATGCAGCAATAGGCTGGGACAGCAGAAAGTTCATAATCCAAGTAAACATCACTACTCTCAGGCCAAATTCCCATCCAAATTGTCACACACTGAGGAACAGTTCATCTGGCAAGCCCACCTCAGCTGCTATCTCCACTGCAACAACAGCAAGTAACACAACATATGATTGCTTCTCTCAGCTGTCTTCCCTGAGCATGAGAGCTACGTGACTGCTCTTTCCTTCCTTTTTTAATTTACTTTAAAGCATCCTTGGAATAAAGAGCTCTCCTGTCCTCAAGGATCATGGGTGAATGACACCTGAACCTAGGAGAAACAAAGGCAGAGGAGTGAATGCTCAGCACCTAACCCTTGTTCCTCTCACCACAAGCAGTTTACTACGGAGATCCAAACATCACATAGTAAGGGAACTAGAATACAACTTCTGCAACACGAGGCATGCTATACAATTTTAGAGCTACAAGCATTTGCTCAGAACATAAAATGAAACTGATTTATTTGGGGGAAAAAAGGGCAGAATTAAATCAGAAACAACAGATATATGGACTGATACCTGTCACATGCTCCAAACATAAATGAAAGCAGAGACTAAGGAAGACCTTGCAAATAAGGCATACACCAGTGTTTTCATTAGAAGTCCAAACGAAAGGCTTCCTTTTGTCCTTTCATCAGGAGTCTATTTTCAAAACTACAGCAACTATTTTGTTTCCAAGTGCTGTCATGTGATTACTTATTTTTAAAAAAGGCAACTAAAACTTCTCTACAGTCTGTTGACTTACATTATTTCACAAGCAGGTTCTTTGTTTTTTTCCTTCTTTTTTGGCGTTTTGTTGTTTGGTTTTTTTTTCTTTTTCTCTTTTTTTTTTTTTTTTTTTTGTAAATTGAGTCTGAACACCATATAAGTTAATTTTTAAGTTCTTCCAAAGGCATTTCTCTGGGAATATTTGTGTTACAACTTAAAGACTGAAACTTTTACCTATTTTATAGATACATATAAGCTTTGAGATCTTGAAGTTACGCTTTGCTTAAAAAGTTATGAACTTCTATTACATTACCCATTTCCCTTATGAGTTTTAAAGCTTGTATGAGTTTGTGAGGCGAGTTTAATTTTTCATAAATGCATCCACGCTCAGTTTTAGTTGTTATCCCAGAAGCAATACAAACAGCAGTCGGGTTTAAATGGTATTTCTTACCAAATATATATCATTAAAGATCTCCAGCTGCTAAAACATACCTAGCACTGAGATCACCCACAAGCTTCTACTGCATGGTTTTGCTAGGATACCTGAAGTCTGATCGGTTACTTCACTTTCATCTGCAAGCTGGAGCTTCTGCCTCTCAGAGAATGCCAGTCATGCTGAGTTGTGCAATGATTGATTCACTGGGGAAAAGGGCTAGGTCCAAAACAAGCACACTAACATCTTCTGAAAATGACCTTCTGCATGTTTTTACTTAATGAAAACACATTATATCAAAGAGAAGCCACAAACCAACCGCTTCTGCTGCATTATAGGTGGAGTGTTTTCAGGCAGAGTTCCAGTCCCAGCCAATAATTCAAAACTCTCACGTAAATAAAGCTTAGGGCAATATGGAATAAAGAGCCAAGACAACACTTGCAATAACATAGATACTATTCCAAGAGACAATGTTACTACATACAGGACCCATGAATGAATGCTAAAAAGAGTTAAGTGTGGGAAAAACAAACAACTAAAAGCAAGACAGAGGATATCTGCTTCAGTCACCACGGGCTACAACAAGCAGGAAAAGCAACAGCAACTTTTATGTTGACAACATTCTTCTAACTACCAGCAATCCAATTTCCCAAGACTAAAAGCCATCATGAAGCTCATCTCCTTCCTACAGGAGACAACAATTAGTTACCAACCCTTCATAAAGCCTAGGAGAATTTAGCCTGACACCTATTTTTACCGGCAAAAAGTACCATCTTTTTCCTAATACAAGGCAATTGGCTCTGCTGTCTAGGTAAGCAAGACACATTTGAGCATGAGTGGAACTGACACCTTGTTCAGTTGAAGGTAAAAGCTTTAATTCTAATAACAACAATGTGCCCATGTCATTTATTTTCCAGCTTTGTCTGTCAGCGATTTTTCTAATTACTGAAGCACACCTTAAAACATGATGCGAGCTCTACTGACTGCGAAGATGTAAACAAAGCTTGTCTTTCATATACTGGCTGAAAGAATATGCATTTGTTTACCTTGCTCGTCTGGAGAAGGACTCCAGTTACTTATATTACAAGTTGAAAATAAGTAAGCTTTCCAAGGCCCAGCATGAAAAAGTGTAATTCATTCCTACTAAGTGTTTTTCAGCTCTTCTCACCTGGTAAATGGTGATCTTCCACATACATAGAATAGCATACTAAGAAACCCAGAGAGTTGACTTCTTAGTTTCTTGTTTGAATAGAGAAACGAGAAATCACAAGTAGGGAAAAATTAAAAAAACAAACAAACAAACAACCCAAAAAACCCTCCAAACACTTCAGTTTAAAGAACTTATACAACCACTAAATTCTACTCAGTTTAAGAACTAGAATGTAACTTGGTTATTTGGGTCACTTACCACATCACACAAGTGTTTTACTAAGAAGCTGCGCTGCTCGCAAAGACATCTGCAAGACTTGTTTTATACTTACTACTTTTCTTAGAGAGATGTCTCTGAGACATTATTAGAAAGAAGGGATACTTACTCAACATCATCCAGCCATCTCATTTGTCTCAAAGTAAGTGGCCTTTTAAATTAATCTCATGATTTTGAGACAAGAATATGAAACAGGAGCCTTTTTATATTTATGTCATTTCTATAGTAGCCGTGGCACTTCAGGACATGGTTGAATGGTGGACTTGGCAGTGTTAGGTTTACGCTGGACTTAAGAGTCTTTCCCAACCTAAACAATTCTGTGATTGTATAACGGATATCTGAAAATGCAAAAATATTAAAAAATGACGCAATAGACCTAGCAATCCAATACCTTGAATTGCAAAGATTATATGATCCAGACCTGGATACATCACCAAAACTCTCATCAGCTAATTTCAAGGTGCTTTACGCATATAAATAATATTAAAAAAAATTAATCTACCTGCACAATGGACATTAGAATGCTGAATACCAAAAAAAAAAATCAGCTACAGCACAGAAATTGAAGAATACTTTTTGGATATTTAGAAAAACAAAATGGGAAAAGTAGTGAAGTAGCATACACAGTTGAGGAAAGAAATCATTAGACAGTTGTCGTGTGTCCGTCCCCCCCAAACTCAAAGTTAAAAAGGAATCACACTTTACTCTTCCTTGAAGAAAGATTCCAAGGTGTACAAGCCAAAGAAGACCTAGATAAGCTTATATTACGTTTGCTTTCTTTTTACTTCTGTCTTGGGTTTGTTCTCAAGTCAAGCCTGCAGCTCTCTTGTTCAAAAGAAGTTTTTTGACACAACTCAGTGATCTTTAAATATATACAGCTCTCCACAAAGCTAAGCTGCAACTGAAAACAGGCAGTTGCTTTAAGGAAGGAGAAATACTAATGCTTTTAGATCACCAATGTTGGACAGCACAGTTTAACTTTAAAAACTTACATAATGATCTTTATAAACTGCGAAAGAAAGAGGTGACAGATTTTGTAGCTATTATGACTTGTTTTATCCAGTAATAGGTAAAAAATGGATGGTATCAGAGCAAAACATGGGCATGTTTTATATGCACAATGACAGAGCGAGCTCTGTATGGTACTTGATGAAAAAACGTGAAAAGTAGGAGCAGAAGTCTTTGGCTTGAATCAATATACAGATAATGATTTACTTACTAATACATAGAAGACTACTGCTCCCCCCCCCTCATTCATCATAAGTTATTTACTGTTAAAGTCTCTTGTCTCAAGCCTATCCAGCTCCACTTGTTCACCTCTTCACTCCCAACAAAACCTACAAAAGCAAAGAGAGTATTTCCTTCTGTCATGTGACCTTTCTCCTCAATCTTGGCAGTCACCATTAAAAAAAAAAAAATCTTCTCGCCTTCACAATTCCCATATGCTACAGTACATGCTGAAGACAGTCAGAGATCTCTCTTGTAAGGACAAGATATCATTGCTTGTAAAACAAACAAATAAACTGTTAAAAGAAAAAAACACCACTGCACACGTGGATTATGCTCTGTGATGCCAACCTGAGATCATTTCCTCTTACTCACTTCCTAAAACAAAACTCCTCCTTTCTCAAGCACAAGTTCTTTCAGTTATTGCTTCCCAGGTTCATCCCTTAGGTATTTCAGACAGTCGAATCCTTCTTTAAAGGATCTTTAGTGCTCCAATTCCAACTACTAGGGATTTCTTAAATTGAAAAATACTGCTTTTTAATACCCCATATAAAAATTATTAGGCATTAATCCAAATATGCTGCAGCAGTTAAATAATTTGCAAGATGTGCAGCATGAAGCACCTGACCGTTTCTAGAATTGAAACATGAACAAGTACAACTTCAAGGACTACACGAGAAAGGCCTCTTTTTCAAAATCAAACCCAAAAGAAGCATGGGCTCATAAAAATACTTTTAAGCCTAAGGCATACTGCTTCAACACAGACAGCAAGTGAAAGCAAAAAAGCTGTATGAAAAGATAGCTATAACAAGCTTTCGGATAAAGTCTTTGCACCTCCTGGAAGACTTGGGTCTTCACGTTATCTCAGGCCCTCCTGAAAGCTGGACATCAGGAAGCAGAAGCAGCCCTCCCTCCCTTTCCCAATGCAACAGCGAGCAATGCCTCACAAGTACCAGAAAGAAAACCTCCCCAGGGCATCAACCTGGGGGAGGGAGAAGGCGATATGCTGCAACCACAGCTCAAGCAGCCCATTAGCCCTCCGCTGCGCGTCCCTACGAGGGCAGCCTCACACCCTGCAGCTCCACACACAAGCCGGGGGGGCGGTGGGTGGCGGTGGTGGGGTTGTTTCCACCCCTCCTCGCTGCATGGAGGAAGGAGAACTCGGCCCCACTCTGTGACAGAGAGGCCAGAGGCTGCAGCGGGGGTCCCTGCCCTGGGAAGGGGGGGCACCAGGGACGGGGGGCCCCCGCCCCCCCCCCCC